CAATTAGTATCACAGGGGTCTTGTATCAACCATAGATTTTGCCTGTAGGTCCTACTTTAATCTTGAAATACATCATATATTGCTTCTCCTGACTGCTTCTCCTTATGAATTTAGTTAAGCCAGATGTATGCTTGTCCTTTTATGTATCTCGTTTAACTTAACCATGATCCTGTATTCTGCCACCTTTAAATCAATCCAGTTCCACAACAGAAACTATTTGTCAGCATTGTGAAGTCATTTAAATCCACAGCATTGTTCTTGATTTTAAGAGGCACGAGCATGTGACAGACTGACATTAGCAGCACAGCTTAGTGTGCTTGCAGGCCAGGTATGTACCATTCTGCAAAACATGTTTCTTGCAAGGGTGTCACTTGAGAGATGCTTCATAAGCTTACCAGAATGTTTTTCTATTGAGGATAATAATAATAAATCTTTAACAATATATATTAATAACAAATAGTTAACAATAAAGGTAATAATAAAGATTAATAATATATAATAATGATAAAATCATCCCATGCATTTTGGAGATGGAAGTGACTCCATATTTAGCCTTGGAAATGCTGCCCTGCTCCGCAGCTTCTCAAACTCTTCTCAGAGAAGGAAGAATCTGTTCCCAACACAGGACAAAACTACTAGTGAGTTTTTTGGGGAAGCAAAGAAGCTGTCATTCCTTAATGAACAAATAAAGTACAAAACTAAACTGTGGTCCACCAGTACAGGGGAGTTGGAGACAACAGTGCCTTTCAGATAATGCACATTGCATTCTTAAAACCTCTGTCTCATCAGTCTGGTTTGCATCACCTGGGGGACATGCACTCCAAGAAGCCATAAACTTGTTTCTTCTAGATCAATAGCAGATGAAATCTTCCCTGAAATAGGAGAAAGCCAGCTGGTAGCAGAGTGGCATTTAGTAAAGTGTACTTTAAAATCTAAAAAAAAAAAAAGATAACCCTTCTATTCATGGAAAAGGACACTGGAGGTCTACCTAGAACCAAAAGTTAGATACTGCAAGAACATGGGCTTTCCCTCTAATTCAGTCCTTTGGATTGAAGAGGGCATAAAGGCATTAAAGTGTTACCTAAGGCGTCATCATAGAAAATGCAAGATGCAGGTCAAGGTATTTCAGAAACACAGCAGATTCTTCAGCTTTGGGAACATGTTGGGGTGGGGGGTGGGGGCCAGGCATCTGCTTAGTTCCAGAAAGGATTCTCTTTCAATTTTCAATGGTGTTGTCTTCCTGGAGGTGGGTGGCCTTTTATTCATGGAGACAGTGAATTGCTGACTGAGAAATCTGTGTAGGGAAATGAGCTTTGTCCTAATTTCACTGAAGTCAGCTGGGTTAGGGAGGTTCTCAATGACTTTTTTAATGAGCTCAGAATCAGTATCTTAAAAGACTATCGTACATTAATACAATAACGTTGCTAAACACATTTTGACTGACAGGCAATCCTAGGTTGTGCTACAAGACCATACGAAGTATGAGGTAGGGAATGTGCCTGACTATTAACACAGGCATTTGTTTGACTATCTGTCTTCAACCAGTACAGTTTAGGGCAGCTGGTCAAATGGAAGGTCCTCTGACTGACTGGAATCATTAAAGCAATGTGCTTTTTCCTTGTGGAACAAAGCCAAGACCTGGTCTCTTTATGATATGGCTGGTTTTAGCAGAGAAAGTTAAAAACTATCCCTACAGAATATAACCAGAAGACATGTCCAGAAGATTTTCTCATTGACCTGACTAGACTGCTTCACCCTATGGTGGTTAAGAATTGTGATGGGATTGGAGTCATAACAGTCTCAAGTTAGACAGAGAGCCTGAAATTTGCTGTTTGTTTCAGATCTGAAGGCAGTTTACATGCCTAAAGCTTGTGTGTATTTCCTCAATAATAAATATTAGACATTTTGTAAAAATTTCACATTCTGTGTTAGGAGGATGAAGCTAATCAGTACAAAAACAAAGCAACTTTTTTTCTGAGATTCTTTCCTTACAGAGGAAAAGTTGCACAGACACCTCACAGATGCCTCTGTTTTCTAATGGTTTTCTCTTTCACATTTAGACACACTCTTAAATATTAGCTTGCTTGTCATTTTCTTGATGAATTGCACCCTGAGTTTACTACATGCTGTATTTCTGCCTGTGCTGTTTTTCAACTGCGGTTTTGCTATTTTTAGAGCTTTATCAATAAATAGTGATGTGGGCGGTTTTGTTTGGTTAGTTTTTTTGTGAAGCTTTTTTATTATACAAAATACTCAACAAAAGACTGTCTGGACTTCTTTTGATGTCACTGGCATCTGGTTCTTAATCTCTTAAGGTTTTTTTTCCAGACATCTCTTGGATGCTCAGAGATACTGAACACTGGTTAACTTAATGGGAATGGTAGGTGATCACACCCACAGTACCATCCGGACTCCCTACTGCTCTGGAGCTGCTGAAGTTTCCACTCAGAGGTGTGCTTTAGAAGAAGTGCCTGAGCTGTTTGTGTACCTATTCTATAACTTGGCGCCTACCTGGAAAGACAACTGTGTTTCCTTATGCTACCTCAATTATGCTCTTTTCTGTAGGAAAAACAAAGCACAGCTGCCTCAATCTCTAAAAAATAGGCTGCTGCATTTCATTGTCTTGACTCACCAGAAAGGTTGTCGTAGTTGGAAATTTGCAGAAATGCTGTAAGCATTTGGATGGAAGTTAAGTTTGTAATCACAATGTCCATAATGATGCTATTGCTTTATAATGTTCTTTTAATAGTAAATGGCAACACAGCTGGGGATTTTCTTCCTGCTGTTTTAAAGGTCTACATCATTCCATCAGAGGATGATGCTCAGAAAATAAAAAAGTAACTATCATTAGGCCATACTGAACAACTGTCCACCTTCTTCAGCAGTGTAAAGCATTTTTCTTCTTGTGTCACTTGACTGAGTATTGAGTTCTAGGCTTTTGCCCTCATCCCTCGATGTCTCACCCAGATTCCTGGATACAGTCCAGTTCTTCCTGTTAAAATACTGCAGTTGCAGTTGTGCTGCAGCGTACGTATTGACAGGGGATGCTGAAATGCCAGGCTCTGCTTCTGGTTGACTTTTGCTGACCACCTTAACGATCTGCCACTTCAATGCATTACATATTAATACTTCTCTTTGTCTAGTGTTTTTCATAGAATGCTTTTTTGTTACATTTGCAGTTTGGATTTAAAAGAGAAAAATAAATTTAAAGTTTCCTTTACATTAGGAGGACTAGAAAATGGTCACTGCATATTAAAACCGCTAAAAGAAAAAATGGAAAAAATCTACAGAAAGTAAGCAAAATACTGTGTAAAACATTCCCTAATGAACAATGGAAATTATGTCTAATAAAAGGAATTCTAGGCCAAGCCTAAATTATCTACTCTGTTTCAAATGTCTAACTAATTATTGGCTTATCCTTAAGGTAAAAGCTTTTTAATTGGCTTTCGAAAAGTCTGAAAGGAAAACTCTGATGACTTTAGATGTTTCTGTCACAATTACCCAGAAAGGAATGTTCATATATTCATACATTTTGGGTTAGTTGGCTGGGGTTTTTTGGTTGGTGGGGGTTTTGTTTGTTTGTTTGTTTGGGTTTTTTTGGGGGAGTTGTTTTTTGGGGGGGCAAAGGGGGGATCTGTGCAGGTGGAATGGAAGTGGAGGGGGTTTTTTTAGCTTGAAATGTTTTACCCCACTTGCTTCCCAGCTTTGGACTCAGTCTGTTTAGGGCTATTTTAATTTTACGGATCTCTCCCCCGCAATTCATTGGAAGAACAGACAGAAGCCTGAAGGGAAAAAATCCTTTTACACATGAAGATGGTATCAGCACCGTAAAATGATTTTCACTTTAGCAAAAAAAGAAAACCAATAGCAATCCGGTATTTGGGTGCATCAGGGAAACAAACAGAACAGTTAACACCGTCCAAGGATAAATGGTATGTTGTTAAGAAGACATTTTTATTCAGCACTGTACTTTTCAACATCTGTCTAGTTCAAAGCAAGAGGATAGTCCCAGTTTGGGAGCTCTGCCGCGTGGTTCACGTTGGAAACCTCGTTCGGGACTCAGCTGACCCAGAGTCGCTCACACCCCCCGGCTCAGCAGCAGCCCCAGACGTCCCAAACCCCGACGAAAGCTTGGACACGGCAGATGCCTTTTGTTCTGTTGCTTTGAGCTCTTCTGCATTCCTCCCACGTACGGTCTCGTATGTCATTGCCGGGTGATACTCTCGGCTACCGAGAGGTAGATCCACCTTCGGTGGACAAGCCGCGGGGCAAGGACCTTTTGTTTCCCACAGACAAATGAGCAATGTCAGTTAATTCAGAAAACTTAAAAATCTCTCACTTAAAAACAAAAAGAGCTTTCATTTCTGGCAGGCCAGGTGGCAGTGTTTTCGCCGGGGATGATTCAGAGCGCCGGGAAGTTGGTGTTTACACCGGCTATAAATACGAACAGCTCCCGGCCGGGACAGCGCGGAGACAGGACGGCAGCGACTGTCTGTGACATAACCTCTGGGGCGAGGGAACACTTGGAAGGTGGCATTTAGGGTTAGCAGAGTGACAGGCACCACCAGAGTGGGAGATGAGGATTTCTCCGCACAAACCGGGCGCGGGGCAGAGCTAGGCGGGGGCGGTTGCTCCTGCCCGGACCTCGAGCCCCTGAAGAGGGCGAGCGTGACCCCGAAGTGGTCAAGTTCACCGGCAGCGCCGGCAACCCCCGTCCGCTCGGGGCCGGGACAGACCGGGAGGTGCCGGGGCGCGTCCCTGCAGCCGCGTCCCCGCCCGTCGCCACCGCCGCCGGGCGGGACCATCTCTCCCCCTGCCGCGGGGGGGGGGGCGCGCTCCGCCCCGGCTCCCCGCCTGGCCCGCCTCCCCCCGCGCGGCGCAGAGCGCCCCTCCGCCTTGCGCGCGGCGTGGTCCCGCCCAGCGCAGGCATTAACGCCCCCCGTGCGGGGCGCGGGCGCCCGGGCATCCTCCGGCGGCAGCTCCGCGGAGCGGGGCGGGCGCGGAGCGGCTCCCAGCGCCAGCCGTGCGCGCTCCGCCGCCCCTCTCTGCGCCGCCGGGCAACGCCATGAAGCCGGCGGTGCTGGAAATAATGAGGATGAACCGGGTGTGCAGGATGGTCCTGGTCACTTCCGTGGGCTCCTTCATCCTCGTCATCTTCTATTTCCAAAGTATGTTGCACCCAGGTAGGGCACCGGCACCGCAAAACCGCACCGGCATCGCCGGCCCCGCGGAGGGCAGCGCCCGCTCGCTGCCCGCCCCGCTCTCCGCCGGCGCAGGTGGCGGGCGCCCCGGGAGCCCTCGGTGGCTGCCGCCGGCCCCGGCTCTCGTCCCCCGGCGCCGCTGCGGCAGGCGCGGGGCTCGGCGG